ATATATATATATATATATATATATATATATATATATATATATATATTAAACGGAACAATATCTTTATAAAAGCTGGGAACCGGGCCCGACGTCCCTTACAAAATTAGGTGGGGCCCTCAATGGGCAAGGCATCATCGGCCAAACACATAGGACACCACTAGATTTAACCCCACAGCCAGCTCCACAACCAACTCCACAACCCCAACAACCCAAAAAGTCAATGAAAGTTATCATCACAATCTAAATGAATCCTAAGAAATGAAAGTAGTACAAAACACTAAGAAAATATAAAGTTCATCACTAAAAACTGTAATCACACTAGTCATATCAACCCTAAGTTAGTGACCTAATGCGACCAGCTTTTTGCTGAGGGTGGCTTCATAATTCCTTATAAACTCGGAAATGAAAAATAAAAAACAAAAAATCGAACGGAAATATACCCCTTTCAACCCCCTTTAAAACCCATGTATACCCCTCTCGCCACCTTTTACAACCCATGTATACTGCCTCTTCAAGGCACTCTGCCCATAAAACATTCAAATATAACGCCCGGGCGTTCTATTCGAATATGTCACCCGGGTGTTATATTTGAAGGGGCGTTCTATTTGAAAAAAAAGTGAGTAAAAACGAAAATCGGATCTTTTTAGGGTAAGTTGAATATAACGTCGGGGCGTTATTTTCGGGTGAAGACCCTAAGATGTCAGCGAATTTATTTAGTTAACCCGAAACTATGCCTGTCTGTCTGATACACGTGACATGGCTTTTTTGTTTGTTTTAATGCTCCGTTATCTCCATCATCCAACCATAACATGCACCTGTCTTACTTAAAGAAGAAGAAGAAGAAAGAAGGAAAAAAACGTGCGCCAGGCTTTGATGTTTAGTTTCCGAAATCGTCGAAAGAAGCTTTCAGCTGACACTCTAATTGAGCTAAATATGGTTTGTCAGGGCATTCACGCCCTTGCGCATCGTGTGTTCATAGGGATGAGTGCGAACATGCGATTCTGCAGAATGATGTACCTTAAATGAACAAATGTCAGCGCACACCTTCTCCTAAAACCATCACCTCAGCGGATTTTAGTTAAACCTTGGCTGACATGAGATCCTGTCTGCCTAACGAGAGCGTGCACACACTAAAACCGACGACTTTTCCACTGTGAATGCATCTGACCATGAGTCGGTGAAACTCCGACGAAACAGTTTGTCACAGCCCCTCGTTTATTGTCCTCTACTCCCTCTCTGCCAACGGTTTACCGGGCAGCTCTGTTTGACTCTATCTATATATCTATATAGGGTTTAGCTTGCTGATGAGTCGATGAAACTCCACCGGAACAGTTTGTGACAGCCCCTCGTTTGTTGTCCTCTTCTCCCTCTCTGCGTACGGTTTACTGGGAAGCTCTGTTTGACTATGTATATGAGGGTTCAACCTCTTGATGAGTTGTTGAAACTCCCACGAAACAGTTTGTCACCGACCCTCGTTTGTTGTCCTCTTCTCCCTCTCTGCCTATGGTTTACTGGTCAGCTCTGCTTGACGATATATATATATATATATATACAGAGTTGCCAGGCCGAACGTACGGAGGTCCCTAAGCTGACCCCCGAACGTTCGGGCGTTCGGGTTCCCGTACAAGGCCTGAACTCGAAGGGGTTCGGACCCCGCAAAAAAATATTTTGGTACCTAAAAATTATTATGTTTTTCTGATTTTTTTTTCGTGAGTTCTCTATTACGTAAGCTACCTGTCTATCAATTTTGAAGTCATTCCGGGGAGCCAAACAATAATAAAAAATCGGCAAAGATGGTGGTGTCAAAACTTGCTTTCCCACTTACTAATTTGTTTTTTTTTTCTTTTCACTTTTTGTTTTCCCTTTATTTCGGGGCCTGACAAAGCCAAGAAAAAAATGAAAAATCGCCAAAGATGGCGGTGTGAAAAACTTGCTTGCCCACGCAATAATTTCATTCTCGTTTTATTTTTTCTTATTTTCATTAATATTATTTATTTTTCGTATTTGATTTTTATTTCGAATTTGGTAATGAATTTGGATGTACTGTTGAGGCAAATGTTGTTTAGTTTATTCTTCTTCATGACATATTTGTTTTTCAGAATTTTTGGAAAC